TATCTCCCTGACTCACTCTAATTTGACTATACTTTTTTGTTCTTCCTTGAACACACCATTTATAGTAATGCAGTAAAACATTTGCATTTATGGGGCCCACATTGTGGCATAGTGGATTAAGTGCTGCCTGTGACGCCCACATCCCATTGAGTACTGGTTCGTGTTCCAGTTGCTCCACTTCTGTTCCAGCCCCCTGATAATGCACCTTGGAAAGCAGTAGAAGATGGCTCAAGTGCTTGGGTCCCTGTCAACCACATGGGAGACCCAGATCAAGCTGCTCACTCCCGGCTTTGGCCTGCCCAGCCGTGCCCTGACTGTTGTGACCACTTGGGGCATGCACTAGTGGATGCAAAATCTCTCTCTCTCTCTCTCTAACTCTGTCTTACAAATAAATAAATAAATCTTTTTTTTTTCCACAGGCAGAGTGGACAGGGATAGAGAGAGACAGAGAGAAAGGTATTCCTTTGCCGTTGGTTCACCCTCCAATGGCCGCCGCGACTGGCGCACGCGCTAATCCGATGGCAGGAGCCAGGTGTTTCTCCTGGTCTCCCATGGGGTGCAGGGCCCAAGCACTTGGGCCAACCTCCACTGCACTCCCTGGCCACAGCAGAGAGCTGGCCTGGAAGAGGGGCAACCGGGACAGAATCCGGTGCCCCGACCGGGACTAGAACCCAGTATGCTGGCGCTGCAAGGCGTAGGATTAGCCTATTGAGTCGTGGCGCCAGCCAATAAATCTTTTAAAAAATATTTGCATTTGCATTTGTGGCTACTTCTAGATAAAATGATTTGCCCTTGACATATCTACATGGCTTACTCTTTTACCTTCTTGAAGTCTTTGCTTAATGTCACTTGATTAATAAAGTCTTCTTAAATAAAACTCTATAATTGTACCTCTTGCCCATTATACAGTCTTCATCTTGCTTCTGTATTTATTTTTATTTTTAGTACTTATCATTTACTTATTTGTTTGTATTTGTTTGCCTCTCCTCACCATAATGCAACGTCTAGAGGACAGAGATTTTTTTTTCTTTACTCAAGTTATAATACAAATGTAGGAAATGCATGACACATAGTAGATATCTATTAGAAAATTGCTGAATGAGTCACTGGAAGCAATGGGCTTACTTGAAACATTATAGAACATCGTGTTTTAACTTCACAAAGACTGTATTTTCTCTTGATAACATTTCATGGCCCTTGAATTGGCTGAAGGTGGCTAAAATATAAAACATTCAAATGTTTTTCTAGCTACCAATCAACATTCTGTACTCCAAATAGTATTTTCCAAGAAGACACAGATAGGCCTTTGACTCCAACTATCTATTTTGGCACTGGGCAGAAAAGAATTAATGTAGCAGGCCTGAGACAATTATCCTTAGGATAATCTGCAAGATTGACCTTCAACTGGCTACTGGAAGCTTAGATTTGGAAGGATTCTGACCACCTTAACTGATAAGATAATTTCACTGGGCATGAGCTAACTATGCAAACAATATGGTTTATGCTAAAATCTACTTTCTTTCTGGCAGTCTAACAGGCCAAAAAAAGGCTGTCTACATGATAAACCCATCCATTGCACAGTCCTCCAAATAAAACCCTGAGAACTGAATTTTGAATGAGAAATTTCTCATGTGCTACCATCTCTGATTCCTGGATTCACATGTGTCTTGTGTAACTCCACTAGGAAATGACTCCAGAAACTTGTTCTTAGTTTCCTACAGATTTAACCCTCCATGCACCTTGTCTCTTTGGAGTTTTTGCTTTGCAACCTTGCACTGAAATACATATTAACTACAAATATAATTATATCCTTTTAAAAATTATTTATTTGAAAGTCAGATTACACAGAGAGAGAAGGAGAGGCTGAGAGAGAGAGGTCTTCCATCCGCTGGTTCACTCCCCAACTGGCCACAATGGCTGGAGCTGTGCTGATCCGAAGCCAGGAACCAGGAGCTTCTTCCGGGTCGCCCACATGGGTGCAGGGCCCACAGTCTTGGGCTATCATCTATGGCTTTCCCAGGCCAAGAAGAGAGCAGGATTGGATGTGGAGCAACTGGGACTGGAACCAGCGCCCATATGGGATGCCGGCACTGCAAGTGGCAGCTTTACCTGCTATGCCACATCACCGGCCCCTACAACTATATTCTTAGTCCTGTGGATCCTCCTAGAAAATCATTTAAACTTGTATAAGAGGTCATGAGAGGGCCAGATCTTGGAACTTTGAAATCTTACTGGATGCCTGCTGCATCCCAAACATTAGTTTCAAGCATAGTGACCTATGCTGGATTATAAGTGAGCTCTCAGATTTGCTTTATTTATTTATTTAGGCCCTCTGCTTAATTTTTAAAAAATGATTCACTTAATTTATTTTAAAAGAGAGATGGAGAGAGAGGGAGAGACACAGAGACAAAGAGATCTTTTATCCACTGGTTCACTCCAAATGGTGCAACAGCCTGATTTGGGCCAGGCCAAAGCCAGGAGCCTGGAAATCCACCTGGGTTTCCCACATGGATGTCAGGTGCTCCAGTACTTGGGCCATCATCCGCTGCTTTCCTAGGCTTATCAACAGAGAGCTGGATCAGAAGCAGAGCAGTCTGGACTCAAATGGCACACTGATACGGGAAGCTGTCACTGCACGCAGCGGCTTATCACACTATGCTATAATTTCAGCCCGAGATCCTTTCTTTTTCAGCATAGGATTTCTGTTGATTTTCCACATGGATGCAGCTTGATGTGTGCTTTTCGACTCTCTTCAGAGGCATCCCCTTATCAGGGTGTACTTAGAGGCACAATCACATGACAGAACAAGTAAGAAAGAAAGCCATGGGAAAGAACCCACAAGCATCAATACCATCCGGGTTCCAGCATCAGCTCTACCATCATTCCTTCACAATTTTGAAAAATGAACAAATGGGATATTTTACCTGAGGTTTTTTTCCCTTGTACTTTTCAAAATCTGTTATTTTTAACTGACATAAAATTTGTACCTACTATGGTGTATCTGTGATATTTCCATATGTGTATACACTGAATAATGTTCAATTTAGGGTAAGTGTAGCTATTTCCACATACATTTATCACTTCCCTTGCAGCAAACATACCCATAAACCTTTCTCCTAGTTTATTTGAAATACGAGTTTTGTTCATTTATATTTACAGTCCCCCTACTGTATTGTTAAGCACCAGAAATTCTTTCTCCTAACTGTAACTTAGTACTTGTTTATCAACCTTTATTCACCCATTTCCCACTCACTCCAGCCTCTGTTAACCACCATTCTAAGCTCTCTTGCTATGAAATCACATTTTTTTTCATATACAAGTGAGTTCATGTGGCATTTGTACATGACTTATTTCACCTAAAATAGTGTCGCCCAGTCCAGTCCTGTCCATGTCACAAACAATAGGATTTCATCTCTTTATTTTGACTGAATAGTACTCCACTGTGTATATATATATATCATGTTTTCTTTATTTAGTCATCCAGTTATGGACACTTAGATTAATTCATTTTTGGCTATTGTGAGTAGCGAAGATCTCTTTTTTCCTTAAGAGATGAAATAAGGAAGTATCTTATTATGTTCTAATACTGGATTTAAGAATCTATCACTGGGGCCGGCACTGTGGCGTAGAGGAAAAAAGCTGCCACCTGCAGGGCTAGCATCCTCTTTGGGTGCTGGCTTGAGTCCTAGCTGCTCCACTTCCGATCCAGCTCTCTGCCATCACCTGGAAAAACAGTAGAAGATAGTCCAAGTCCTTGGGCCCCTTCACCTGTGCGGGAAGATCTAGAGAAAGCTCCTGGCTCTTAGCTTCAGATCAGCATAGCTCTGGCCATTGTGGCCAATTGGGGAATGAATCAGCAGATGGAAGACCTCTCTCTGCCTCTCTCTCTCTCTCTCTCTCTCTCTCTCTCTGCCTCTCCTTCTCTCTGTGTGTAACTCTGACTTTCAAATAAATAAATAAGTCTTAAAAAAAAAGAAAGGAAGAAAGAGAGGAAGCTCTCATGGCCTCTTTAAAAAATAAACAAACAAAAAAGGACTCTATCATTAATACTAGTCTTCAGATTTGAAATATTTAGATTCCAATGAAGAAAGTCTGCCTACATAGAACATTTTCTTTCAGATGTACATTGATAAACATAAACATATGCCACTTATGTCACTTATCTCTCCTGAACCTCTTTTTCTATTTGCTTTTCTTCAGAGGACTGCCCTGCCCTTTTATAATATCATGATTTGTCTGATACATTCATTGCTATTCAAGCCTAATCTCTGTTCTTTAGGAAAATATTTTTAAAAGACCAGGGAAAATAGTCAAGGAGATGAATGTACTGCTATATGCAAACAGACTAAAGTGATTAGGATTCTTGGGCCCGGAAATAGAAAGGTTTAACAAATATCTTAAGTGCTATGAATAATTCATTTAACACAACCCCAAGTAGTCAGTAGTGATCAATGAATTGAAAACAGAGACCTAAGATTTGTGTAAGAAAAAAATGTTGATTTATAGTTGGAATTGTGATTATTAGATGCTGGAAATCTGGGGACAAAAGGATAAACAGATGTTGGGTAACAGGTACCAAAACAGAAGTGGACACAAATAGTTAAGTTCTAATGTTTCCCAGCACAGTCACGTGACCACAGTTCACAATAATGTGGAACACTCAATGTAGAGAACCTAGAGGAGAGTAGCTGGTAGGCTCTAAACACAAAGAAAAGATAAGGAAACAGAAAGGCTAGTTGACTGGTTTGATCAGATTATTCTTATATATGTGTTGAAATATTAAATCTAATCCTATAAAAATATACAAGGATTACACGCTAATCAAAAAATTTAGGGAGTAGCAGAAAAAAATAGCCACCACTTATCTATAGCACAAAATTTAAAACATCATGACAAAAGGTGGGCAGACTGCGATTTGTTTTTGATAATCTGTTTTCATTTTCCATTGCTGTATAAAAAATTAACCACAAACCTAGAAGCTTAAAACAATGCCTACTTACCATCTCAAGTTCTGTGGGTCAGAAGTCCGGGAACAGCTAGGCTGGGCTCTCTGCTCAGGGACTCACACTCAAGGCAGACTGTATCTGGAGGCTCTGGAGAAGAAGAGCCACTTTCAAATTCATTCATATTGTTGGCAAATTACAGAAGCTTGCACCTGTAGATCGAGGACCCTATCTTCTTGTGGGCTGTAGTCTAGCAGACATTCTCACCCCTAGAAATCTCCCACCATTCCCTCCACACAGCACCCTCCAGCCTCACCTCCAGCAATGGAAAATCTCTCCTGCACCAAATCCTTCTCATGCAGCCAGTGTCTTTCCAGAAAGAGCCCACTCCCCTCTTCAGATCCTTGTGTTTACATACATTAACCATAAGCTTGCTTCCCTAAGAACATTTCTTTCTATTTGGAATTTTTATCTACAAATTTCCTTAGGCTCCAAGGTTAGTACTTAATGGAATAACTGAAAGTACATGCAAAACAAGTGCAGACAATCATAGGGGTTATCTTAGAATTGTGATAACCACAAAATCTTAATGCACAAGTTTCAGAAAGGGGGTTATTGTAAGTGTTTCTTTATCTTTGAGATTAATATAAATTAGGATTCTTTTAGTCTAATCATATATTTGCCCTGTGTAACCATTACTACATTGTCAGTAGAGCAAATGTCCTTAGAAAGTTGACACATATTTTGCAATATTTTGTGTGATAGCTAAGTTCAGCAATGTAGTAACCTGGGTTTTCTGGAAAAGCTAATTGTCAGTTTTTTTCTGTTTCTTTTTTCACAATTAAATATACATAAATCTGCTGATAAATTTTGCACTGATAATTTTCTATGAATAGTAAAAACAACTCAATAATTCCGTCAAGGAAAAATGGATCTGGGAAAGTTAGATTTGAAATAACTGTTACAATTTCCTCAGCTGACATTCCAGGCAATGTAGAATTGTCATCACTATTCATATATGCTATTACGTTGTCCTTAATTCTATCCCAGGTTACAAATTCAACATGTAGTTCCCCTAATTTACTTTCTATTGCTGCTATAGCAAATGACTACAATCCTCATGGCTAAAACAACAGAACTTTATTATCTTGAAGTTCTGGAAGCCAAAAATGGGACACTGGTCTTAGTGGATTAAAGCTAAGTATTATGCCTTTGTTACTGTAATGTAATTTAAAAATTCTCAAAAACTAAAAGAATAAAAGGATGGAAACAAGAGAGGAAGAAAAGAGAGTGTGGAGGAGAGTGAGGAAGGGGAAGAGAATAGTATTGTGCTCTTAGAATTTTATCGAAAAATTACATTGAATCTGTTAAAACTAATTAAAACTTAAAATTTAAAAAATTATATAATAAATAAATAAAATGAAATAACAACAAAAATACAGAATTGTTGGAATATACAACATACACATTTTCAATTTTTACATCAATAAATATCAAAAAGTAAAAAAGAAATAAGCCAAGCTGTTGGTATGGCTGGTTTTTCTGTTTAAGTTCTGCTAATATTATAATTGTTCTCTTTATATAAGCAAATACTAACTCACTGGGTAGAGAAAAAATAAGATACTTGCTGAACTTGAAAAGGAATCAGATCTATACTAACCATTTGCTAAGATAGTTGGGTTCCTTCCTCCATGGGTAAGGGTTCACCACTATATGATTTAGCAGAATAAACTAGCAAAAATCTTTGTGCCAACAGTAATTAATAATTTGAAAGGTAATCATTATGTCTAAAGACTGCTGTTGATTTTTCCTTAATTTCCCAAAAGATGACTGTCAACTCCACACATTTCATGTCAGCCTTTCTTTTCCCCAATAGCTAAAGTATTCATTCATTTGTGGACACTGCATGTTAAAGACATAAATATAAACAAAATCAAGTCTATGCAGCACAATATTATCAGGAACATGGAGAGACTCAGAATAAAATCACATGTGGATCCACTGAAGGAATCTGGAGTGTTTAATCAATAAAATAAGCACTTGATGACTCTGGAAACCAAGAGACAATGGAAACAAGTCTAAATCACTGCAATAACAACTTCCTAAGTGCCTACTGTAAGCCTGGAATACCATTTAGGTATTAGAGTAATGTAATGACTGAGGCCCATATTCTTCTGTCTGTGGGCTAAAAAGACACATAAAGATATCAGTTTAATACCATATATTAAGAGCTGCTTTCAAGTACTGTTCATGACAGTGTTGCAAAAGTGTATTTTCAGGCTCTCATGAGGATGTGAAACTCATCAGCCTAGTGCTGTTGTAATTTCCTGGTTTCTGGGGCCAGCGCCTTGGCTCTCTTGGTTAATCCTCTGCCTGCAGCACCTGCATCCCATATGGGCACCAGTTCTAGTCCCGGTTGCTCCTCTTCCAGTCCAGCTCTCTGCTGTGGCCCAGGAAGGCAGTGGAGGATGGCCCAAGTGCTTGGGCCCTGCACCTGCATGGGAGACCAGGAGGAATCCCCCGGCTCCTGGCTTCAGATCTGCTCAGTGCCAGCTGTTGCGGCCAATTGGTGGGGTGAACCAACGGAAAAAGGAAGACCTTTCTCTTTGTCTCTCTCTCTCACTGTCTAACTCTACCTGTCAAATAAAAAAAATATTCCTGGTTTCTAACCTTGACAAGATTAATGTAGGCATCTTTTGCTTGCCCTATATGAAGTATCATGTGATTTGCAAAAGAAACTCAGTAACAAAACAATCTGGTTAAGAAATGGGGAAAGGATATGGACAGATATTTTTCAAAGGATGAAATAGAACTTGCCAACAGTCACATGAAAAAATGCTTAAGATCACAAGACATCATGGAAATACAAATAAAAATCAAAATGGGTTGACACCTCATTCTGGTTAGAATGGTGAACATCCAAAAATCAAAAAATAGCAAATGTTGGCAAGGATGTAGATCCTTGTATCCAAGTGTCCAAGAATCCTAATATACTGTTGATTGGAACTCAAACTGGTGCAACCATTATAGATGACAGCATGGAGATTACTAAGAGATCTAAAAATAGAGTTAGTAGATGATCCAGTTATCCCACTCCTGGGAGCATACCCAAAGGAAAGAAATTAGAATATGAAAGTATGGGGCTGGCACTGTGGCGAAGTGGGTTAATGCCCTGGCCTGAAGCGCCAGCATCCCATATGGACACCGTTTCAAGACCCAGCTGCTTCATTTCCCATCCAGCTCTCTGCTATGGCCTGGGAAAGCAGTAGAAGATGGCCCAAGGCCTTGGGTCCCTGCACCTGTGTGGGAGAACTGGAAGAATCTCCTGGCTCCTGGCTTTGGATCGGCACAGCTCCAGCCGTTGTGGCCAACTGGGGAGTGAACCAGCAGACAGAAGACCTCTTTCTCTCTCTCTGCCTCTCCTCTCTCTGTGTAACTCTGACTTTCAAGTAAATAAATAAATCTTTTTTAAAAAAAGAATATGAAAGATTTACCTATACTCCCATGTTTATAGTGACTCAATTCACAATAGCTAAGATATGAAATCAACCTAGATGTCCATCAACCAGTAACTGCAATTCAAGCATAAAAAAGAAATGACATTTTCAACAAAACGGATACAACTGGAGAACAAATGAGAATGTTATGCTAAGTGAAATAAGCCAGACCCAAAAGACATATGTTGTGTGTTTTCTCTTATTTCTGATAGTTAACATAAAGGGAGAATATAAAAAATCTGTGGATTTCACATATTCTGTATACAGTAATAAATAGAGCTTCCTTGAATCATATCATGTAAATGAAAATATTATCTTAAATCCCAAATTAAAATAAAAGAAATGGAAGGGGAAATAGTGAGGACTCTTGGAGTACTATTGTACTTGTTCTTAATTTGGGTGTTGGCTACGAATGTGATCAGATGAAAAAATTCATTTATCTGTACACTTATGTGCATTTCTTAATATATATACTATATTTCATTAAATGTTTTTAAAAATATCATATTTGCCAGTCACTTTACTGATTAACTTAGTTATTCCTAAACTAATTGTCTGAGAGAGAACCTATTAGTATCTCCAACTCATAGGTAAAAAATTAAGAGTTTAAGTACCTTCACCAAAATCATACAGGTACTAGATGACAGAGGAAGAATTTGAAACCACATCATCTGGCTCCCAATACCAGCACTGGGACCACTCATTATGTCTTCACTGGTTTTCACTATAGGTTAAATTTCTGGCTTGAGTTACTACCAAATGACATCAACATAATGTATTAAAAATAAATGATCAAATAATTAAATAATCTGACCTATATAATCTCAAATAGGCTTTTTGAATTCAATTATATAACTACATATTCTGCAATCATGTAAATAAAACTTTCCAAGACTACAAAAGAATAATTGCTCAAAGAAAGCCTTCCATTTCACTACTTGTATTTGAATATATATACTTACTTTCAAAAGCTGAATTAACTCCCTCAAAACCAAAAGAGTATCATTAATAAGCGAGCACAATTGAAAAATAATTTTCCTTACCTGTCCTCAGAATTGTGTGAACAGAGACTCTAAAATTGGGCTCACTGTATGTCCTTTCCATATTAACTCCTTTCTAGAAGGTTGTCAAATTCTTAAACACCATCAACTTAACACCTGATATTTATTATGCACCCAGAAAAAGATCCCTGCTCCTTTCTGCCCCGGAAACTGTGGACCACATGGCAGTGTGCTTTGTGAGAAGAAAGCAAAGCACTCTGAGATATTTACTTTTCTATCTAGGATACAGCGAGTTCACTGTACAAGGGACTCTTCTTTTATGGTGTACAGAATGTGAACAATCAAGTTTTCTAAGGGTTGCCAGTCAAGGAGCTTTAAGTTGAATCTCTATTAGTCTTGCACACATGTTCTCTTATTCAATTTTCCAAGGGTTCAGAATAAGATCATTTTCATCTAATCTGTACTCCAACTAAGGAGCAACTGACATATGTCAGGAGCGCTGAACCATTTGAATGAATTTCTCTCACCTCCACTGATTACAATCTAACATTGACAGCCTTGCCATCACTTCAACTAACACTGTATAATACAGATAAAAAGGCTGTTTAAATTCATTAACTACAGTGATTCTTTTATGTGGAGGAAAATAGTTTTTATTAAAGGGAAAACAAATCTCTGCATTACTTATTATTTATAGAGATGACTGGGGAAGATGGAAAATATGAGATTCAAGGCTGAAGAGCTATTATTGAAAAAAAACATTCCACCAGATCTTTGGATATAAAATAGAAGTCAAAACTGGTATTGGAGACTGGAGCTGGAGGACTGAAAAGTTACTATAATAAAAATTAATAGGTTAGAGATCAAGTAGGTCCCCATATGACCATATTTTGGGGGAAGAGAAAAGTCACTTACTTAATCACAAGGTCCCTATGTTTTTGTTTAAAACCCTTTCCATCTTCCAAAATGTCAAGGCCCATAATATTCACCCAGAAACCTGATCTAGTGATAAGATGTGAATGTATGTTT